CAGCAGCTCTCTCCACCCACGGGGCCTGTCCCCGTGCTTTAGTAAACCACCGTCCGGCACCAAAGACATCTCAAGAATTCCTTCTTGGTTACCGGCTCTGGACTCCACCCCACCGAACCTCTCCTATGTTCCAAAACCACATTACCACCCTCTGTGTGGGGTGCAGCGGTCGGGTGGGGGCCACCAAATGTGGGGCATCCCAGTTGGGTGGGGGCTGATGGCACAGGTGGAAGTTACTTCCTCAACTCAGAATAAAAGAGAAGTTTACTGAGGATAGCACAGGGTCTCCACGGGCAGAAGAGCGAAGGAGCGACTGTCCGACTGTCCGCTAAGCGGGTGGCGAGGGTCACGGGTGTCGGGTAGAGGGAAGAAGGGTGGGGACGTGGGGCAGTTGCCCTGTTTTGGCAGTCTTGGGACCTGGGCCTGCTGGAACTGGTCGGTTGGGGCCCATGGCTATTTCAAGGTGGGCCGCTTACCGAGTTGGCTGGTCTCTGCTCTCCGGTCGCCGTGGCCCTTTCTGCCTTGCTCAAGCCTGTCCCTCAGAGCAGCTGGACATGGTGTCGCGCCCGTGTAAGGAGGCAGGGAAGCAACTATCTCACCAACTATCTCAGCACCTCAGGAATTCATGGTCGGAGGGGCTGGTGGGCGCAGGAGCCTTCGTGGCAGGGTCTCTAGCTCCCTAGGCTGGATCCCAGCACTGGGCCCTGGATGCAAATTGGATGTGATTAGGCCGAAAGCGCCCTCTCCCTTGGGGGGAGGTAACAGATCACCCCCCAGGTAATCCCAGGGGGGGCGGGGAACAGAGCCTGAGTGGAACCGTGAGTGGGGGGGCAGCCGGAGCCCGGGTCTCAGACTTTCCTGGCCACAGAACCAAATCTAAAGATGTGGTGAAGCTGGTCAGCACAGCGAGTCACAGCCAAGACACTGCCTGTTCCCGGTCCTCCTCTGTGATGCCCCGTGAGACCGGGGTGGGGGTGGGGGTGTCTCCGGAGTGGGGGGGGCGGGGGGAGCAAGGGGAATCTCAGGGAGCAGACGGGATCCCGGGCCTGTGGGACCTCGGGCATGGCCCACTGACTTACGGAAATGACAGCACCAAGAGGCACATTCAAGCTTGGTTTTGCCTGGAAAAGTAAAGGCAATAAAGGAAAATCTAAATAACGTCAATGCCTTTCTCTCCCTAACGCTACAGATCTCAAAATACACAAACCATCGTCCATCACAGAAAGTCTCTGCTTCCGGGCTCCGAGGGGGGGCTTCCTAATAACACCTAACTCGGGTTCTTTCCACGATGAAAGAAGATAAACATGTCAAGTGTTTTTCTCCAGCAGATAAGTCCCTCGCAAACGCCCCAAAAAGGTGTTGTCACCACGCTCTACTTCTGCAGCGATTCTAAACATCTCTCCCAGGAAGGGAAACAGACATGATTATTTACCCCTATTTTGAATTTTTTTAAAAAAGTTTATTTATTTAACACATATACACACACACAGAGCCAGAGAGCCCAAGCAGGGGAAACAGCAGAGGGAGGGGGAAAAGCAGACTCCCTGCTCAGCAGGGAGCTGGGCGGATCAGAGGACCTCTGGACCCCAGGACCATGATCTGAGTGGAAGGCAGATGCTTAACCATCATCGAGCCTCCGAGGTGCCCTATTTCCCCCCCCACTCCCCCCATTTGGAATGAAGAAAAGTGGGTCTGGGGGAAGGGATCTGCTCCGAAATTAAAGAGCAAGGGAAAGGAAGGGGTTCGCTCTTCGCTGTCTCAGTACTTTTGTCCTCATTTCTGTATCACCTCTGAACCAGACACACTTGTCTAGAGCCTGGTCTACAGGTTATGCAAGCGAATCACCTGAGAAAACGCCTTTAAAACACAAACAAACTGCAGAGCCAGTCCCCGAGGTGTTGAATTCTGATCCTAATTTGCGTCCTGGCTGGAGCGGAGGGTGGAAGGTACACGCCGCACTCCTGCGGCGGGGGGGGGGGGGGGGGGGGGGTAGGCCTGGCCATCCAGCAGCCAAACCCTTTGTTCGGCCCTGCCCTTCCCCTTCCAGGCCTGCCCCTTTGTGGCTTTCACACCAACGGGGCTCTGGCACGGAGCCTCAATCTGGAGACCTCCTTTCCTTGTGAAGCTCAGTGGAGGGGTTTGGCTCCAAAGCCTTGCCTCTTAAAAAAAAAAAAAAAGAAAGAAAAAAGATCCCACGTATTATTTTTTCCTGCATTGCCTCATGAATGGTCAAGGGAGTAGGAGATTCTTTTTTTCCTCAGACTTTTGGCCAAACCACAGACTCTCAAATACAGCCTTTACAAGGATGCTCTGGGCATTTCTCCCCCTTTAACTCTGTATATAAATTGTACTATAAAATACATTTACAGAGAGATCAACAAAGTTTTCAAAAGTTTGGGGATGGTGGCATCACAAAGTTGAATTCAGTTTACGGGGGTAGGGGTTGGGGAGACATCGTGGGGGCAAACCCCACAGCAGCAGCTCCCTGAATCTGAACCTGCAGGGCTGGTTTCCCAGCCCCGTGACCAATGTCTGCTGAAGGCGCCGTCATGCCCCGAGGATTATGGGAAGGTGCAAAAGGCCTGAGCTCAGGTCTTAATTCTTGGTCACAGACGCCGGTCCGGGGTTCTCTCACAATGTGCAGGTGTGTAGCAGAGAAGGACAGCAGGCACGATTAAACTGGCTGAAGACACGAAGGTCCCCCACTTCCTGCTTTGCTCTACACCCAACAGCAGGTGGACACACATGAACCACCCCCCCACCGCCAGGGAGTATAATCCGAGGCTCCCCAGAACCACTCTGCTTCTCTTGACCTGCTGTGTTATTGTGATTTATAATAATATATAGTTGGTGGGATGCCCGGGTGGTTCAGTCAATTAAGCATCTGCCCTTGGCTCTGGTCATGATCTCAGGGTCCTGGGATTGAGCCTCACATCAGGCTCCTTGCTCAGCGAGCAGTCTGCTTCTCTCTCCCTTTGCCCCGTCCCCCCAGCTTGTGCTCTGTCTCAAAAAAATGCAATCTTTAAAAGAAAAAAAGAAAAGAAGAGAAAAGAAAAGAAAAGAAAAAAGAAAATACAGTTGGTCTTGGTCCCTGTTCCTGTACAAGCTCCTAAAACCCTTCTGGAATTTCTAGGTCCTGAGAGCAGGCAAGGTGTCTTTTGTTATGCTAATGAGGCAAGCCTCCAGGTTGCCGGAAGAATCAACCCTGTGATTAGAGGTTTGGAACTTTCTGCCTCCTCCAGACCTCCCGGGAGAGGAGCGGGGACGGAGATTGAATTCTATGGCGAATTGCCACTGATGTAATCAATCGTCCCACGACTGGTCTCCATAAAATCAGACTTCGAGAGCCCTTCCAGGTTGGGGAACACACTGGAGATTTGAGGAGACCGGAGTGTTTAGAGAGGCACGGAAGCTCTGGACCCTCTCCTCAGACCTTGCCCTATGCATCTCTTCCATCCAGCTGCTCCCGAGTTAGAGCCTTTTGTAGTAAGTAGGTAGTGGAGTAAAATGTTTCTCCGAGTTCTGTGCGCCGCTCTAGCAAATGAACAGAACCCAAGGGTGTTGTTGGAACCTCCATCTTTAGCTGGTCAATGAAAAAGCACAGCTTGGACCAGTCTTGCCAGAGGACTAAGCCCTTTCATCCGTGGGATCCGATGCTCTCTCCAGGGAATAGTGCTAGAACGGAATCAAACTGTAGAATACCCAGCTGGGGTCAGAGAGCGCCTTGGTGGTGTTGGAAAACTCACACATCCTCACTGGCTGCAGAACTCCCGCTATGCCTTTTCCCACAGCTTCAGTGGGGACTCTCAACAAAGGGTTTGTTACATATGCCCCGCCTAGGGCTGGCACCTGCCAGGTATCCCCTCACTCCCCGACTCAGGTCGGACAGACCCCAGGCTCCCACCTGGGCAGTCCACTGGCAGCTGCGGCCTACAGCAACCCCCAGGGGCCAGCATTTCCCAATCTTCTGACTCGCTAGTGCAAAACACAGCTTCCTGGCCCCAAAGGAGCTCCTCCATCAAAATTGTGAAACCTCAGTGGAAATGTAAAGATGGATGGAAATTATGGACATACTCCTGCTTCGCAAGGCCTATCTTTCAACTGAACAAGTCTCTCCATTCTTTAAGCCACTCTCCCTCCCCTCTGGGCTTGTTTTTCTGTAAAATCCTACGTTCCAGGAGCTCCGGAGCTCCATATCGAAGTTGAGACTTAGTAACAACATGCCCATGGCCAGCGCCAGCTTGAAGACATGGTGAACAAGGCTCAGACCCGATTCCTATCAAATGCGCCCAGATCCCGTGTTTTCCTCTAAGACCCTCACTCAGCCTTTTTACCCTAGGTGGGCTTCCAGTCTTGGAGGAACCCTGCCTCCTTGGCCTGGTGAAGTGATAAAAACTATCTCCTTCTTTATACCCAGACTGTCTTCAAGCTACACATTCTGGCTCTGGAGTTTTCAACTATTGGAGGTTCTGGAAATTTTCACTTCCCACAAATGCGTGAGCTGAGGCTTCTCCTGTACACTAAAGCCTATTCTACTGTTTCTAGACAACCCCCTGCCCCTCCTTAACACCTAAGCAGAGTTCCAGATGAATCGGGGACCCTCCTCCTCCCCTTGGGGCGGCCTTGGGCTCCCCGTGGTGGCGTGGATGGCCCCAGGGAGGTCCTCGACCGGCCCTCGCCTGCCCTGTGAAGTCAGCTTTGGCTGGACGCTGCAGGAATCCGGCAAGGCTGGAAAGTGAGGAAAAAAATGTCACACACAGACACGTTACACAATGGAGGATTTTATTTACATCACAGGGTAAGAAAAGGATACAAAAGAAACCTCTTGGTCAAGTGCAGAAAGGCAAAGCTCTACAACCCAATTCTCAGTAAGGTGTGGACCCTGACATTAAACACACACACACACACACACACACACACACACACACACACACACACCCCAACAACAACTGAAGACAGAGAAATAGGCAAAAAGCTAATCTGCAACATGGATGCCCTGTCCCAGGGGAATAAGCACTCAGGGAGTTTGGACAAGGTCATCTTCTGTATACAGGAATCTGGCTCCCAGGACAATCTCTGCGAGATTCTGATGGATGACATTTCTAGGCTGATTATTCATCAGATAATTCAAATTTCAAGGGCCAAATGTGCTTGGCCTGAGAGTGTCTCCAATTTGGGGATGGGATGGGGAAGGTCTTCATGGGACAGACCTCAGCAGCTCTGGGTCCTTCCAGAGTCACACTTCCACGGCCCCAGGGGGACTCAGTAGACTCCTCTAGGGCAGGTCAGCATCCCTGGGCCACCACAGACAGACGCCCGCCGGGCCCGTCACAGGCCGCAGAGGCCTGGCTCTCCCACTGAACGCTGCTTGGCTGTTTCTTCCACTTGGGTCTCTTTCCCCCGAGTCCCAGTGTGCCCAGGCAAGCCGTCATGATCTTCCGTGGGTGAAAATGTGCTCTCATCATCCACTTTCATCATCTGATGGAAACAAGACTGCTTGTTGTGCCTTTTCCTCACGAGTATGAATGATGCAGAATGGGACCCAAGTTCTTCCTCAACACGGCCTCCAGCCCGTCTAGCTACAACGCTCGCCTACACCGGTTCCTGTTTCTGTCCCTCTGTCTGTCTTCTCCACCCACCTTCTCCACATCCTGGTGCCACCTGGTTCACCTGGCTCGTGAGGCCTGAGCCCTGAGGCTGCCTCTGCCAAGGCCTGGGGACCTGCTCAGGGCAACACGCAGGTGTGGCCACGCCCCTACAGATGGGTCGGCAACAACCACTTGGCCTTCTGGGTCTTCTGTCAAGAGTCGCAGCAGTGGGCTATGCGGGGGGTTGGCAGAGGGGTATGGTAAAAGGGGCCTCCTCTTTCTTTTACCTCCCTGGCCAAGGCTCCAATGGCAGTCCTTGGGCCGTCCCGGGGGAGCACCCAGGACCCATGTGGCGCTGAGCTCTGAATCCCGGTGAGATGTGGACCAGCTGGCAGCACCAGAGAAAGGATGCTACAGAGGCAGCCAGTGAGAGCTCGGGCTTCAGGGGGATTTTCAGCACCAGCCGCGGCACCCCTAGCCGCCCAGCATCGCTGGTCCCTCCCCGGAGCTGCAAGCCCAGCTCGCCTGAGGCTTCCCAGGGCTGAGGAACCAGACCTGGCTCCTGGACTCCCACCCTGTCCACCATCTTTCTTGTTTCTACTTCCAGCACACCTCCTACTTACTGGTTCCATTTTAAAATCACATATTTTTCTTGCTAGGCGCAGTGTCTCCCTCTCTCCCAAGGGCACAGAGGGGGCGAGCAGCTGCAGGGAGTCAGGAGGCCCCCCGACTGCCTGGACAGACGAGCCGCTCAGAACTCGCAGCCGCACCGCCCCAGCCCAGGCGGCAGGGGTGCTCCCTCCAGCCGCCGCTCCAGCTCACCCAGCCCGCCTCTGAGCCCCCTCCTTCCCTCCCCTCCAGCTGCACATTCGTGCGGGGTGGGGGACACACAAGTTTATCTGCTTTACACAGTCACATACATCATCGACAGTTTTGAACGCATCCCCACCTTCAAAGAGATTTTCCTTCCCTGCTTCTTCTTCTCAAGCCCGTGATTATACTCCTGGTGACAAAGGGGCGGAGAGAGGAGATGGGGCGCATGACAGACAAACAGCTCCCCGGCTGCCCCCAGAAGCGAGGCAGCCAAGGGCTGTGAGCACCATGTTCGCCTGCGGCCTTTCCAGAACATAACAAATCATCTTGATCCAGGTCAATAGCCCTTTGGCCCCTTGTCATCACCACTCCGCTACCCACCCGGAGTGCCCCGTCTGCCAAGTGTCTGCTGCGGACCCAGCCCCGCCACCGTGGCTGCCACGCCGGGAAGCCTTCGTTGTTTGCACACAGTGACCCCAAACCTAAGGCAGGCCTGATTCTCTGCGGGATTGTCCGTCGGGAGCCGCCTGGGTCCTAAGTCCTGAAAAGCTCAGCGATGCGCAGGGATGTTCTATTCATAACATTCATCCAATGCAGCCAGGAAAGACATTGATTTCCTCCAAGGGTTTTGTGGGTTCAGGTCAAGGGTGGTCCCAGAGCGGAGCTGCCATCCGCGCCAGTGCTCGGCCCCGCAGCTCCCGCTAGCGCACGAACGAGACCACGCTGGTGGCTACTCCGAACGGGGCAGAGTAGGCCGCGGCGAAGCCTTGCAGGCCGATGACCACGTAGCGGCATCCCTTGGTGACGACCTTCCCCACGTTCTGTTTTTCAGGAAGAGAAGAGAAAAGCAAAGGGGCGGGTTAGGCAGCTCTGTAGTCCCTCCCACGCAACGGTGACCCAGGAAAGGACCGTCAGGAAAACGGGCCATATCCCGTGTTTCCACATCCACCCCCGCCCTCCTCCCCCCACCAAGCACATGTGGGGGCTCAGCACAGATGTCATCATCTGGCAAGGTATCTTCAAGCCCTGCACATTTCCAGATCACTCAGACATTTCGGGAACAGCACTGAGGATGCCAGATCCAAAACCAAACCCCTTTTGTTTTCGAACCAGGCTCCACGCCCAACATGGGGCTAAAACTCACAACCCTGAGATCCAGAGTCACAGGCTCTACTGACTGAACCATCCAGGCGCCCCTGGTTTGTTGGTTTGTTTGTTTTATTTACTTACTTATTTATTTTTTAAGATTTTAGTTATTTGACAGAGAGATCACAAGTGGGCAGAGAGACAGGTGGAGAGAGAGAGGAGGAAGCAGGCTCCCTGCAGAGCAGAGAGCCCGATGTGGGGCTCGATCCCAGGACCCCAAGATCATGACCTGAGCCGAAGGCAGAGGCTTTAACCCACTGAGCCACCCAGGTGCCCCTTTATTTATTTACTTTTAAAGATTTTATTTATTTATTTGTCAGAGACAGAGCGCAGGAGAGTGAGAGAATGCACAAGCAGGGGGAGCGGCAGGCAGAGGGGGCTGGATCCCAGGACCCTGGGAACATGACCTGAGCTGAAGGCAGACGCTTAACTGACTGAGCCACCCAGGCGGCCCCCCCTGGTTTTATTTTTGAACCAAAGCCTACTCTCTTCTCTGTTCCAGCCCAGTCACTGCATCATCGCCAGACGGGGTCCAGTGTCCTTGCCCTCCCCTGTCTGAAAGCCCGCCCTGCCCTCCCTCCAGCTCCGGGGCAGACGCCTGCCCAGCCCGCACTCGGTCTCTAGCGTCTCCAGCGGCTCTCTCCTGCTGCACCCTGCAGTACGATTATACACTCCTCCAGGGTAAGGACTACGCTGCGCTTTCTTGCCACTCACTCCTTTTCTGTAAGGCCTGGTGTTGGACAGGCGACATCCCAGGGATTCAAATGGGATGGCCAACAGGAAGCAGAGACGCCCCCAATATTAATGGTGCTGTTGCCCACCGCACGCCCCCTCCTCTTCCCACCCCCAACTTTCGTCATCACCCTTCAATGCAGTCAAACATCCATGTGGATGACTTGGGCTCTATCACACGCCTCGTCTCTCAGTCCCCTGACCTTTCCAACTCCCAATAAATACTTAAAATTCCTGGTTTTGCTTAAAATGCCTGATCACAGTCACAAAACTCAGAGCCAACGCTACCCAGCAAACCTCTTCTGTCCGGCAGGCTGACCTGCCCTCTCTCCGGGATGACGGGGCTCATGCTCACTGCCATACCCCCAGCGTCCAGAAAGGGCCCGGGTCTTTCCTGTGGAAACTCGCAGGCTCCATAAAGAGCCCGGGGGGAGAGCCAGGTGACATGGATGGCTTCTCTAGACAGTGACTCCTGGCATAGCGCCCATGGACTCCTCAGTGAGAAACCAGGGTGCCCGAAGGAGGCGGCGTGAGGTTTCTGAGAGAGACTGTTCTATAAATGCATAATGAGATTCAGCAGGAGAATTTTACTTTCCTCCCTGAAATAACAGTAACAGAAAGACTGTTCTCTGGGAGCAAGTGCCACAGGGATCGGGAATCTCGGGCGCCTGCACTGAACCGGTCTCTGGCCTCTGTGCATCCCCTTTCCTCATCCAGGTATTCGCAAAAACTGCTCCTCACTTCACCTTCACCATTTAGAAAGAAGCTGCTAAAATAGCTCATTAGATGGAACATTGTCAAAACACAGATTTCTGGGTGGTTCAGTGGGTTAAGCCTCTGCCTTCGGCTCGGGTCGTGATCCCAGGGTCCTGGGATCGAGCCCCGCATCGGGCTCTCTGCTCAGCAGGGAGCCTGCTTCCTCCTCTCTCTCTGCCTGCTTCTCTGTCTACTTGTGATCTCTGTCTCTCAAATAAATAAATAAAATCTTTAAAAAAAAAAAAAAAAACAAAACCCACAGATTCCAGAAAAGCGATACAAAGAAATGTAAAGTATCTATCAACGACCATTTCAGTGTCATTTGAGGGAGGTTTTGAATTCTTGATGTGAGTCAAGTTTTCAAACCAAATCATCTCTTGGAGAAGCTGTGGGGTATGGGGGACCCAGGGGAGCATCGTAGGCTGAAGAATGCGCCCCCCCAATCCCAAGATCCTGTAAATATATGGCTTTATGGGGTCAAAGGGATTCTGCAGATGTGATTAAGGGTCTTAAAATGGGGGAGATGGTCCTGGATTATCCAGGTGGGGCCAATCATTCTAAGGGCCCCTATATATTCATAAAGACCCAAAGGAGGACAACCGTCTTTCTAAGAGGGACACAAGTCACACAGAACGCAGTGTCATGACAGAAGCAGAGGCTAAGGTCCACGGACTTGCATTGCTGGCCTGGATGCGGGAGGATGGGGACCTCTGGAAGCTGGAAAGAGCTCTGAAACTGGTTTTTCCCTGATGCCTGCATGGGAACCGGCCTGGGGACTTCAGCACAGTGACCCTGATTTTGGACTTCTGGCCTCCAGACCTGTACAGCCGGTGTGGGTCCTAAACCAGCACGTTGGTGGTGATCTATTACAACTGTCCTCGGATGTCATGCTTTCTGGGGGTTCTCCGTATTCAACTAACCCCCGGTGAAGTCAGGAACTCCCCGCCCCCTTCCAGTTTCCAACCAAACCAAACAAAAAACAAAACAAACAAACAAAACAAAACACACCAAGACAAACAGAAACTAAAACCCAGCTGTCAACAAAGATCACTTTTCCCTCAATATGAAGATCAAGTCTCCAGTCTCAAATGCGGTCAGGACCTGGTAGAAAGCTGAGCTGGGCGATCGGCTACAGACGGAGGTTTTTTCTGAGTTACTGAGTTCTGATTCAAAAGGAATCAGAAAGTCAACAGTCCTACGGGGTCTCTCCTTCACCCCGCCTACCTCCCACCCTAAGACAGCAGCCAACCATCACAGAAGCCTTGCCGCCTGCCAGGTTTTAAAACCCTCGTGTTACCCCACCTCACAGAGAAGGAAACTGAAGCCAGGCGGTGGGCCCAGCCCTGAGGTCACCAAACCAACAGGGGGCAGCTCTGGTGCCCCTGTCCTTACCAGATGCCCCTAGAGCATGACGACAATTTTTCTCCCCCTTGAGATAAAGGCTCCTCCACATATTGTATTTCCCCCTCCCATCCTCCCCTAGCTGCCTAATGGACAAAACGTACTTACTGGCCTCATCCAAACGTCTCCTGCGGCTCTCAGGGGTGCCTGGGAAAGGTGGCCTCTCACCTTAAGCTAAGTTTTGGGGGTCAGTCCCCCTCAACCCAACTGCCAGGTGAGACTCCTGCCCCCCAGCTTGGCTGGCTACTCTCCAGCTGTTCAGCCCCGAAGAGCACAACTTCCTTAAACTCATTTCTATTGCTGCAAAATGGGGGGGTCCCCTCCACTTTCCAAGGTTCTGGGGATAATTGAGGGGTGTCACTCAGGAAATGGGCAGCAGAGCTGCTGGCATGCTGTGGCAGAACAGCCAACGTCGGTCCCTTCCCCTTCCCTGTCCCCAGAACACAGCCCGTGAACCATTAAAGCGCCATGTGAACACTCACATCCTTACAAAGCACCAGGCAGGAGTCCCCGCACACCCACCCCCAGCCCGAGCCTTTGAGAGGTGGGACCAGGTGGGCCCTGGGGACCACAGGGCAGCAGGAGAGGAGAAATCCTTTTGCATTTCACAAATGCCTATTTTTTTTATTTTTAATTTTTTTAAAGATTATTTATTTATTTGTTGACAGAGATCACAAGTAGGCAGAGAGGCAGGCAGAGAGAGAGGAGGAAGCAGGCTCCCTGCTGAGCAGAGAGCCCAACGCAAGGCTCGATCCCAGGACCTGAGATCATGACCTGAGCCGGAGGCAGAGGCCTTAACCCACTAAACCTCCCAGGCGCCCCCACAAATGCCTCTTTAAACAGAAGCAGGAAGGGACTTGGGTGCAGGGCTTGACCGGTGAACGGATGAATAGGAACTGCCACTCCCCCTTCCTTGAAGGAAAAGCATCCATTAACAATGAGGAGCCTTCACAAGTCCCTCCTTATTCCACCCGGGCCGGGAAAGGGAAAGATTCACGGGGGTAGCTCAAGCCTGGAGACTCAACTCCCCACACCTCCAGCGGGGGCCTGGCTGTCGCCGTGGATTTTCGGCACAGCGGGTGGACTCTTTTCTTCTCCCACGGTGGAACCTAACTGGTTACCTTCCCAGATGCCTCCAAGAAAGTGGGAAGTTGGAAGGCAGAGAGGGCGTGTCCAACTCGAATAGGACAGTGTCCTCTCCTCTGGCTTCCGGGGTCTACTGACTGAGGGTAAGACAGAACAGCTTTCAGTGGCACACATCCCTGCCTGGGCTGTTCCCTCCGCCTTGGATGCTACCCCTTCTCTGTCGGGTCAATTTTACCTTTTTTATTTGTTTTTAATTGTGGTGAAATTCACAAAACAAAAATTAACCATTTTAAGGTGAAATATTTGGTGGCATCTGGTACACGGACAGTGCCGTGTGACTAGCACCTCAACCTACTTTCAACACATCTTCACCATCCCCAAAAGGAAGAGCTGCACCTGTTATACACTTTGCCACCCCCTATTTTTCCGTCTCCCCAGTCCCTGGAAACCACCCATCTGCTTCCCTCTCTCTGCATTTACCTATTTTGGACATTCTATAGAAACAGAACCATCCACGCACACGGCACATGACCCCGTGTGTCTGGCTTCTTTCACTTAGCACACTGGTTCCGAGGTTCATCTGAGAGGGAAATTAAAGTGACCCCAAGACAAACTGCTTTGTTCATTCTTTTTTCTGCTCTTTTTTTTTTTGCCAGAACCTACAGCCGGTGCCCTACACACACCTCATAGAACAGATAATGTATGTTCTCCTTGTAAAGGTCAAGGTTTTAACAACTGCTTACGAGTCTGCCGGCACAACAGGTAACATCTAAGGAGTGACCAGGCAGGGTGGTTCCAAGACCAGTGACTCATCAAGATCCCTGGCTCCAGGGCCAAGTGACTTCTGAAGGACAGACACCTCAACTCTCATCTTTGTTCCTATATGCCTAAGACGACACTTGCACCAGCCCGTCATCCTCAGTAAAAACGCTAAGTCCCAGTCAAAACCCCATGCCCAGACCAGACTCCCTTTTCTTTGCAAGTCTCCAACACGCTCTGTATCTATATTCTCTCTGTCTTCAATGAACTCTGCTCTCACTTCCTCTAGGCTCGAGTTTTGAGTGCCATCTTGCACGGAGCCAAGGACCCTCCTTGGACCCAGCCAACCTCCATCACATCCATGCTGTGGAACGTTAAGGGGACTTCATTCCTTTTTATGACTGAGTAATATTCCACAATGTGTATACACCACATTTTATCATTTATCAGCTGATAGACACAGGAGTTGTTGTCACCTTTTGGCTATTTTGAATAATGCTGCTATGAACATGTGAATATGTTCTCTATGTTCTCTCCCTCAAATACATGTATGTATATTTCAGTACTTATTTTCAGTTATTTTGGGTATATAACTAGGAGCTGAACTGCTAAATCAAACAGTAGTTCTATGCTTAATTTTTGAAGGAAACTCCAACCTGTTTACCACAGCAACTGCACCATTTTACATTTCCATTAGCAATCTGCAGAATTCCAATTTCTCCACATCCTTGCCAACATTTGCTATTTTTTGTTTCTGGTTTTTTTTGTTTGTTTTTATTTTTTTAAGTAACAGCCATCCTGGTTAAGTGTGAAATAGTACCTCATCATTAACCTCTGAAACCTCAATCTTCTCTGCCCAGTTCTTATGTCACCTGACTTCAACACCCTCATCCCGAGGACTCTGTACCATGTGGCAACGTGGTGGTGCCCGGACTCTGCCGGGATCTCCCCAGGAGGTGTGCACTTCTCTAGGGCAGGACTGCACTGTATCTGTTTCGTTATCTCTGCTGGTTAGCATGATCCCTGCACGAAATGAGCACCTAAAAAGCATCTCCACGTGCCAGCCCCTGACCTGAGATGTCCCCAGTACCAGGTTCGCCAGCTGGGAGGCCAGCGGCGGTTTCTTGGTGCTGAACTGAGACCAGATGGGTCAGTTCTAGCAGGACCCAGCCTGAGAGTCCCGACCTCACTGCCTGCCAGTATACTGTGCCAAACCGCTGACTGGCTTTTACAGGGGATGATACACCCAAGTTTCTAGGACCAGAAACTAGATGGTTTTAGACAGGCTAAGAGGCACAGACAATGAGACTGTGAATCAGATGGGGCCTTTGGCCAGAACACAGTGAGTTTTATGATCTTCTTCTGGGTGGCCTTGCCCAGTCCCAGGAGGTGGGGGCAGAAGTAGCTTCAAGTGATTCGCCTAGGCACTGCCTTGGGCTTCGATCTCTGAGAAGGACACTGTCATTTTATCCCATCTTCATATTCTCTCTCTCTCTCTACCCCCTCCTCTCTGTCTCCCCTCCTTCCTCTGCCCCCCAGCCCCCAAGGCAAAAGGCAGTGGTATGTTTGCAGGTCCCATAGTATAAGGGTGGCCAGCTAGGGGAAGAGAAAAGTAGATTCAACAAGTGCCTATTTGTGTACTGTCGCGCTCCCAGGCCCTGGAAATAACCTCTGGAACTTAAGGAGAAAAACCCAAACAATTCTCAGCTGGTGGGATATCCTGGAGAGGATGTTGCCAAAGAACAGATGAACCGGCCTGCAACTCCCTACTTTCCAACTGGGTCACCCTCTACAAGTCACCTCACCACGCTAATGCCTCAGTATTCCCATCTGTAAAATAGGGACACGGATTTCTGCCCTGTCGGGCTGTACAAGGCGGGGTGTAAGGCACCAAGATCAGAACCACGGGGATGCTGGGACGTGTTGGGAACGTTACCAGGCGCAGCCCCGGGGGTTAGGGGTTGGATTGGCCCGCCCCCACCCCCACTCCAGCGCCGGTTTGGGTTCTGTCGTTCCTTGCGATCGAGTTTTCCTTCACCTCCCAGTGGACAGAACCCTCGTCCGTGTCTGTTAACGACAGCTGGAGAGGGGACGCAAGGGCAGCTCAGAGCAGCTGAGCGCGGCCGGGCGGTGGGGACCCGACGCCCACCCTCCGGGCGATTGGTAGGGAGCCGAGGGTCGGGCCGCCCGCAACCCGAGCCGCGGGCGGGGGCGGGCGTGGGGCCCTACCTTGCCGTACTTCTTCAGCTTCTGCCGGTACCTCCTCCTGGGCTTCTCGGCCGGCGCCGGCTCCTCCAGCGGTTCGTAGCGCTCGGGGAGCACGGCCAGGTGCACCTTGCGCGCGCTCCGGGCCCCCGGGCGCCCCGCGCTCGCCGCGCTGGCCACCTCGTCCCCGCGCTCCGGCTGCTCCAGGAGGGCGGCCGCCTCCTCGTCCCCGTCCGCCCGCGCTCGGCCCCGGGACCCGCGGCGCAGGAAACCACTCGCCGCCTTGCTTCGCAGCCTGGCGCCCACCGTCATGATGCTGCGGCCCCTCCGGCTACCGCTCGAGAGAAGACGCCAACCTCGGCGCCCCGCCTGCGCCTGCGCCCCCGCCCCCGCCGCCGGCCGCCCGCCCCAGCCCGGACGGGGCGTGGGTAGAGTGGGGGGGGGGGGGGGGCTCCCGCGGCAGCGCCCTCTGGCCGCGGGGCCCGGAATCGCGCGCCCAGCCGCACCTGCCCCGGGCCTACCTGGCGGCCGCGGCGGGACACACCCGGAAAGCTGGGTGTGCAGGGAACACACGAAACACGTTCAGCCACACTTGCGACGAAATAAATGAACCGCAAACAACGAGGCGTCCCTGGCCACGCTCAGATCGGCAGAGGCGACGGGGACAGTAAAGATTATACTCCGCGCCCTGTGGCTGGGTGAGTGGTGTGGTGGTGATAATGCGCTGTTAGGGGATGCGCACCAGTGACCACCTTTGGGGAAGGCAATCAGAAAATACTCATCAACACCGCTGAGAAAGGGCCATAACTTTCTAGACACCTATTCTAAACACAGCGTCAGAGACACAGCGCAGGAGCGTTCGGGTGGCCCCGCCGGCTGCGGGAGGAACTCCAGGTTTTGGCTGAGGTCACGCTCTTGGGGTCCTGGGATCCCGCCGCACGTCAGCGCTCGGCGCGGAGTCGCGTGTTCCTCTGCCTGGGCTCCTCCCCCTGCTCCTCCCTCTAGAGTCTTGCCCGCGCTCTCTTTCTCTAGAAAAATAAGTAAATAAAATCTTAAAGAGCAAGAAACACAAACCTTACTTAGCCCCTGGTGTTAATATCAGTTTCATTCACAGGGAGAAAGTGGGGCAAACCAGCCGGGCTGCGCGAGCTCAGTTCGGGTCCAAGCACAGGGTATGTGATGGGATCGTCACACTTGGGCTTTCAGCAATAGCGCTGGTAGATACGCATCTCTGGGTTCATGGTGAATCTTAACCTTCTAGCGAATGCCTTATTGTCTTAGGCAGATAAGTCTCTCTCTCTTTTTTAAATAGGTTCCCTGCACAGCGTGGAGCCCAAGGCAGGCATTGAACTCTCCACCCTGAAATCAAGATATGAGCTGAGATCAAGAATCCCAGGCTTAACCCACTAAGCCACCCAGGAGTTCCCAAATCAGTAAATATCTTTTTTATTCTTGGAAGCTAAGAGTTAAGAGTAAAATAATATGGGTTATTAATTTCATTAATATTTTAATACTATTAAAGTACATGATACATTTAAGGATGATTTGGATGTATTGCTCTAAGCACATAAAATATTTACAGTTTGGCTTATTAAAATATACAAATATTAGTTTTATGATTCCAACTTGAAGTGTATAATCAAGTAATTGATTTACAGTTATAAGTTTAAATTGAAAGTAATATAAAAAATAAACTTAATTTACTATATTTGTAAGAATTACATAGCCATGTACATAGTTGAAATACCGGAAAATAAAATTAAATGTATTAAATTTGTAAAAGTCATTTAAAATGTTTAAGATAATTAAAGGAAGTGAATGGTGAAACTTCCCCTTATAGTAATAGTTAAATTTTATTAGATTTGTAACTAAAAGTAATTAGGTTTGTAAATAAAGTAAAACAAAGTTTAAGAGAAACTAGATTTGTGGACTTGTAACTACGGTAACTACAGTAAATATCTATATATCTATATCTATATATGAAAGAGGTCTTAACAGTCCTTTTTTTCTTTTTTTAATTTTATTTATTTATTTGACACAGAGAGAGAGATCGCAAGTAGGCAGAGAGGCAGGCAGAAAGAGAGAGAGGGGGAAGCAGGCTCCCCGCTGAGCAGAGAGCCCGATTCGGGGCTCCATCCCAGGACCCTGAGCTCATGAGTTCAGCCGAAGGCAGAGGCTTTAACCCACTGAGCCACCCAGGCGCCCCAGCATACAACTCTTGATCTTGGGGTGGTGAGTTCTAGCCCCACATTGGGTGTTTAGAGATTACTTAAAAAAAAAAAAAAAAGCAACCCTGACTTCAGAAAGTACCCCCCTCCCCCGTAGACTGCGTATCAAATAGAAACAAAGGTAAAATGTGCAGGGGACCAAAAATGTGGTTTTTGTCCATCCAAAATACTATTCAAATATCATAACAACATTTTTTTCTTCAAATTTTTATTTAAATTCTAGTTAGTTAACATACAGGGCAATATTAGTTTCAGGAGGAGAATTCAGTGGTTCATGACATATGTAACACCCAGTGCTCAACACAGCAAGTGCCCTCCTTAACCGCCATTGTGCATCTAGCCCATCCCCACCTAGCCCATCCCCACCCACCTCCCTCCATCAACTCTCAGATGGTTCTCTATCATCAAGCTTCTCTTGTGGTTTGGGGGCTCCTGGGTGGCTCAGTTAGTTAAGCAGCTGACTTTTGATTTCGGCTCAGGTCATGGTCTCGGGGTCCCGGGATCGAGCCCCATGTCGGACTCCCTGCTTAGTGGGGAGTCTGCTTCCCTCTCTCCCTCTGCCTACCTCCTGCTCGTGCTCTTTCTCTCTCTCTCTCTCTCTCTCAAATAAATAAAATCTTAAAAAAAAAAAAAAGAAGTTACTCAGTGTGAAAGTGCTTCCCTTGCTCCTGGGTGAAAACTTAGGCAGCCTTATAATTTTTTAATCACACAGAGGTAACAAAAAGTTCCAAAGTTGCAAACATGGTCTTGATTTGTATAATTCTATTCATTTATTAAGCGAGGTCCTTGCCCTGCATGGGGCTTGAACTCATGACCCTGTGATCAAGAATTTCATGCTTCACAGACTGAGCCAGCCAGGTGCCCCTTGATTTATATGATTTCAAATCTTACAGTGCTCAATTCCATGTAATACTCAGAGCCTTCAACTTGATTTTTTAAGATTTTATCTTTGTATTTAGAGAGAGGGAGGGGCAGAGGGCGGGGGAGAGAGAGAGAGAGAGACCTCAAGCAGACTCCCCACTGAGCACAGAGCTCCATCTCAGGACTCTGAGAGCAGGACCCTAGCCAAAATCAAAAGTGAGATGCTTAACCTACTGAGCCACCCAGGCGCCCCAGCAACACCGTTTCCCTTCTGTATCCTCCACCTGATGTTTCTGAGCACCCCAGACTTGCAGACTACTTCCTGACCCTTCCTAGGCCAAAACAGAGAAGAGAGCAGAATAATTCCTTCCCGGGTACTGCCTGAGGTGTTGTCTCTGACCTCTGGACCCAGCAGGTATTTGAAGCTCCTCCTTGGGTTCTTCGGGAGCCCCTGCTGGGAACATCCTATTCTACTTGTCATGGCCCAGCGAATGCCCTTTTGTCCCCCACTGCCTACTCCCTCCTCAGCACCCCCAGAGTCCTGCGGTTTATCTCTGCCTTTTTTATCCTGTGCCTATGCGCCCTTCTGGCTGGCCACATGGGACAGGATTGAGTGTAGGGAATTCAGCGCTTCCAAATGCCCAGAAGGCCACCTCCAGTGTAAGTACGAGAACGACAGAGCTGCCGCTGTTGCTGGCCCCAGGAGGGCACCCCAGCCCCCACGGTCAACCCCAGGTCCCACCATGCCTGCCTGCCGGGTTTGCGCCAACAGAGCCCGGGCACCCTACGCTGCCCCCCAGCCCCCAGCCCCCAGCCCCCATCTCTTCACCAGACACCAGTATCTGGCCCAGAAAAATCTGACACCTGCAGAACTGTTCTTACTCTCAGAACAGCAAAAAGAGCGGAAACAGCTTTCACCCCACCCCATCCCCCACTGCCTTCCAAAGCTTCCCAGCGCGCCCCTGATTATAACTTGCCAAATTCTCTTTCGTACTCCAAGCCCCCTGGAACATGTTCTCGTCTCCTGGCCTCTGCACAGGAAAGGGGGTGGAAAGGATTCTGAGTGCCAATCCATGGGAATCTTTCCTTACTGATACAATTAGGAAACTGCCTTCCGGGGAAGCAAGAACACTGGAGAGTTAAGGTTCATGAAAATACATCATCAGTTATTGAGTTAAAAAAAATGCTTAAAGACCTCACAGTCTTAAAGAGCTTGGTTCTTCGCTCCTTGCCCCCCCCCAACGAGTCGCCGTTCTATGCCAGGCGAACACACGCTCAGCTCAGCGACTGCGCCAGGAATGGAAGGTTCGGTGGCTTCCCACCTGTGAGAGGCTTGCCCTCTCCGGAATGCCATTCATCAAGGCTCCATGGCACCTGCCACTCCCGATGCCACCAGAGAAGGATTTTTATTTGTGTGTGCACAGATTTATACTGTATGATCACCAGACTGAGAGTCTACTGACTCGTTCTACAATAGGAGCAGAGTCAGAAGTCTCCTTGCAGATAAAGCTTTAAAGCGACATATATAATGTGTGAAATAATTCTTCGCCGCTCTAATGGAATCATATCCAACTTGGTTGTTTTTCTCCAAAAGCCACTGAAGATTTGGAGGACTACTGAGCTATTTGCACTTTATGATACTAATACTAGAAAAATGTATGCATACTGTATATTAACTGGAATTAAAATTAAAAGAAAAAAAGAAAAATGTGTGTGTAGAGAAATAAGGTCAGAATTATGACCTTATGAGTTAAAGAATATTTCTTTTTAAGAGGATTTTATTTATTTACTTATGAGAGAGAATGAGCGGTGGGAGGAGCAGAGGGAGAGGGAGACAAGCAGGCTCCCCGCTGGGCACTGAGCCCAGCACAAAGCTCGATCCCACCACCCTGAGGTCCTGATCTGAGCAGAAATCAAGACATGGACGTTTAACCCAATGAGCTACCCCGTGTGAGTTTGGGTGCATGTATTTTCCCTAGAGGCAGATTAAGATATCTAAATAACTGATACTGGGGGTCCCTGGGTGGTTCAGTGGGTTAAAGCCTCTGCCTTCAGCTCAGGTCATGATATCAGGGCCCTGGGATCGAGCCCCAAGTCGGGCTCTCTGCTCAGCAGAGAGCCTGCTTCCCCCTCCCTCTCTGCCTACTTGTGATCTCTGTCTGTCAAATAAATAAATAAAAATCTTAAAAAAAAAATAACTGATACTGTATTTAGAAAACAGCA